CAGCTGGGTTTTTCCAGCCCCTTCTTGCTTTATTTTCAGGCTCAGCTCTGGGATGCTCCCACCAAGGGTTTCTCGGGGTAAAGCCAGGTTGTTCCTGCAGCTCTCCTTTAATCTTGAGCATCTTTAGCAGCTCCAACCTTCCAGCCACTGGCTGTTCCTAAAAGGTGAGGGAGCTGGGGAGGGGATGCTTTCATTAGTTATTTGAAATTGAAGATGATTTAATTTCTTTTTTTTTTTTTTTTCCTTTTTCTTTATGCTGTTTCAAGCTAAATAAACTCAGTTCCTCCGAGCCCAAAAGCAGCGAGGATATTTTGCCTTTGGTGTCACTAATTAGCCTCCCACGGAAGCTGAGATCAGGAGAAAGGGAGATAACGAGAGGGTTTGTGCAGCCTTGCAGGACTTTGAGCAAATTCTACAGGAGGGAGGGGGGGGAAAAAGAAAAAAAAAAAAAAAGCAGCTTATTCTCAACCCCAAACTCTGTGAAACCGCTTCATTTTCGGAGTTCCCCGCAGTCCGAAATGCGGGCTGGATAATTTCTGATATTCAATTAGAGTTTGGAGCCCGTGGCCGCTCTGATCAGATCTGTGTAAATAACATTGTCCCCAGCCTGTGTTGTCACCTCTGAAATGCTCTCTGGATCGCAGCCTAGCTCTGTCTTTTCTTGTGGTGGAGTCAGGGTGGTGCTGGATTTCGGAGCTTTTTGCATTTTATTGCTTTTGATTTTGTTCAGGGCTTTCTTTTTTAAAAAATTCTCTTTTTTTTAGTGTTTTTTGGTTTGTTTTTTTTTTTTTTTTAGTCCGTTTTGACTCTGACAGTTTTTAAAGGTGAGGCTCATTTTGTGTGAGGTTAAGAAGAAGGAGAGAGTAAAAGGTACCGTATCTTTCTTCTTAATTGTTTGGCTTAAGTCTAAAACATCTGAAAAAACACCCTTAAAATGATCTTAGAAGTAACAGTCGCTTAATTAATAAAAAATAGGAACAGATTTAGCTTACCCTCTTTATGGACTTAACTTCAGGAAATTAGGCATCCACTCTTGTCTCCTCTGCAATAATCAGTTTCTTATCTATCAGATACGAAACGACCAAATACATCTTACATCGTTCTCATCCTTTAACTCAGGAACAATTCCTCCAAAAAAAAACCAAAAAAAAACCCAAAAACAAATGGAAGCACTGCTAGAGCTCAGAGCATCTTTTACTTTAAACCCTTTTAAGTTCCCCCCGTTTATTCCCATCCCTGCTCAGCTTAATTCCCTTTTATTGTGTCGTTGGGCTGCAAATATACAGTGCCATGCCTAATTGTGCTGCTCTTCCACATTAATAACCTGGAACTTTGCATCCCAACGAGTGAGGAGCAAGGAAAAAAAGGCAGAAACAGATGCAATTATTTGTTGCTGGCTAAGTTACTGTACGTGACCCAGGTGCTGGAGGATTATTTGCATGTGTTTCTCACCTTTGTTCACCCAGACACATGGGGATCTCGAGCTATTGCTGACTAATTGATAGTTGTAGTAACTGCTATAGGCTCCTCAGATTAGAAATGCATGCAGACGTGTGTCTTGATTCAAACATTAAGGAACACACACACTCTCACTTACTTACACGGGCAGAAAGTCTTCATACTATTAGAGGTGTGTGATGGAGATAGCAGGACATAAAACAGAAGAGAGAGAGACACAGGGAGAGAGAGAGAGACAGAGACAGAGAGATGGCATGCAGCATATATACCCCTACAAATAGTTCTAAAATGCGTTTGCAAATGCAGAAGTCTTCAGAACCATCCAACAGTTCAGCACAACCCTTTTTATCTCTTCTCTGCGGGACGTCTCCATCCAGATTACTCGAAAAAAGCGGAAAAGGTGAGAGCTCTGCCATCTTAGCTCTGAATTCATCTGATTTCCTTTTTTTTTTTTTTTTTTTTTTTAAACCCCCCCCCCCCCTCTCCCTTGTATTCCTCATGCCATTGTCCATTCTTATGATGGCAGCCGCCCTTGCTCTTGAATGCAAGTGTCACAGCGGGAGCAAAAAGGGTTCAGGGCTGCATTGTCAAAGCCATGGTTGCCTATTGTTTCTTAGCCTTTCACTGCTCTGCTTTTCCGAGCCTCTTTCCCTATCAGTGGCCCCTGTCAAGGGGAGGAGTAGGGAGAAAATTGCAAGAGTTAGTCGTCCTTTTTATTGCACACTGTTATGATAAACAGCCCCAGCAATACATCCCACAAAATTAGGAATTATAACGACGGGACGGGGGGAAAAAGAAATTTCTTTGTAGGTTTGCGTTTGGCGCTGCCCTTATGTCAAAAGCTTGGTTTTCTTAGGAAAGACTTTTGTATTGGTGTTGGGTTTTTTTGGTTTTTTTTTTGGTGTTTTTTTGTTGTTGGTTTTTTTGGTTTTTTTTTTTTGCCCAGCAAAAAATAGAGGCAGCTGCAAAGTGAACAGTGAGCTATTTAGCCACAAGGTAAAAATTTCCTGTTGCTATTTGGATACTGATGCTTTTCAATTTTAAAGGTGTGTGTGGGGGGGGGGAGGAAGCATGACTGAAAGCATTTCTCTAGATGTCCATCCATTCATCCATCCATCCATCTCTATTTTATGTTTTAAAGCAATTGAAAAGCGGGTTTTAAAAAGGCCAGGGAGGCTGTTTGCAAGTTGGTTTTATTTGGGGGGGAAAAAAAAATAAAAATCTCTCAGTGCAGAATGAGGTTTGTGTTTCAGCTGATTGAATCTTGTGCTGGGAGATGAAGGGGGGGATGAGTGTCCTGCTCGTGCCAGAAAGTGCTGCTTTGTCAGGGCATTCAAAGTAAAATCTTGTCACAATTTTCTTCCTTTGGTGGAGGGGAAAAAAAATTAATATAGACAGGAGTTTAGTTGACATTTGAGCATGTGTTTGATTGTCTTGTGTGCACAGGCCAGCTCTGCCCGTGTTCAAAACTTCAGGGGAGGTTACAAAGTCATGGCCTCAAAAGTTTTTTTGTTTTACTGCGTTTGAGGTGAAATTGCTGAGAGGAGAAAATTATTTCTAAAAGGCGGCTGCCCAGAAGAGTGCAAACATATTTATGTGTTCAAGCTGTAGATATTTCACTCATTTCACTTTCATTTTTATTTTTTACTTGCATTAAAAAAAAAAAAAAATCTAACAAAGTGAAAGAGAAGCAATTGCGATTAGGTTTGTGCTTTTAACTATTTCCGTAAATTTGAGCATCATCCTTCCAATCCTTCAATTCATCCTCGCTGCCCTCAGTGTACAGGATGTTTGAGAGTCTGGGGGTTTAATTTTTGCAAACCTATTATTACATTCTTTTGGCTGAGCTGTTGTACGATCAGAAATCATTCACAGCAAACAGTGCAGACCGTGCAGATCCGTGCTGCTTGAGGCTGAATATCTGAGCCATTGCAAACGTCTCGTGCTATTTTATCACGTCTAACAACACCAGGCAGAGTGCTTAAGCGGGTGTAAATTCGGTTTAAATCTTAAAGAAGCTCACAGAGAAATTCTCCTCCAGCTGCTGGGGGTCCTTGGGTTTGCTTTGGCTGCTGCTGCAGAGCATCGAGCCGGCCGAGCCTCCTGGATGAGAGGTTTTGGTGGGAATTTAGACAAGGGGGGCCCGAGATATTTCACCTGGATTCCCTCTTAACTCTCAGGATGCCGAAATAGAAGTGATTTGAGGACCAAATTGTGCCAGCCCATCCTGCAGACAACTCGCTTTGCCTTTTCTCCCCTGTGCTGGTGCGTTTGACACTCATTTATTGTCCCGCACCGCCAAGTTCTAGGTCAAGTATGTGCCTGTTTGGAATATCTTTATGTTTGAAACTTTTTTTTTTTTTTTTTTTTTTTTTTAAAAAAAAGAAATGATGAAAGAACTCTGGCCTTGTTTTAAATCAAGCTCTGAATGCAGCCGAGGCCACCCTGGGAGCACAATGTTTAATTTCCATTCGACATCTGCCTTATATTTACCATTGCAGCCCAGGGTCTGCGTGGAAGGAGCACTTACCGTTGATAAAAAGTTTGGCATCTCTTTTGTCAGAGGTTGTAATTTCTGTTCTCTCAATCTGGACTGTCATTTTGTAAAATCTTTTGTCACCGGAGCTGAATGGAAAACCTGGAATGTGCAAGAGATTAAAGAAATGGGGGAAGAGGATTCAAATGTGCAGAGCAATTCTGGGCGCTTCCCTCTCTGAGACAGATGGTGCCTAATCCTGATTTTGCCTTATTCCAGTGTAAATTCCGAGCTGTCCCGCTGAATCCACGGCTGAATACTGATGAATCAGGATCAGGCCTGGCTCATTTCTTTGCTTTTTGAGGCTGTGGGTTTATCTGGCAGAGCTTTCTGCATGCACAGCTCTGGTTTTGCACTCCTGGTGAGAGATGCCCACTGAGTGACTCCACCACACGGGTGCCAACCTCGAGTCCCACTCCTCCCTCCTCCTCCTCCTCCTCCTCCTCCTCCCCTGACCTTCCAAACCCAGGAATAAATATTTGAGTTACTTGAGGTGTTTTCTTTGGGTAGGTCTGGGTAGGGAAGTCTTGGAGCTGAGGGGGAATTTGGAATGTCTGGACACTCCAGAGGGGCAGGGGAACGTGGTGGTGCTGGCTGAGATGTCAGGTTTGCCAGGGGGGGAAAAAGAAGTTTTTTTCAGAGCAAAGGCAGAAACATTTGGCCACACAGATGAATTTTGCTGTAAAATGGGTGATTCAAGGAGAGAGATGTTCCAGTCTGATCTGTTTCAGGTGGAGAAGGGAAAACTTCACTCTGTGTTTAATTTTTTTAAATGTATTTTATCTTCTTATTAATCAAAGCAACTTGTGTTCACGCTGCTTTTAATATGAGAATATAAAATGCTTTTTTTGCCCCAGATTCCATTCTGTAATCTGAAGTGCTCTGTGTGGTGTCAGCTCAAGTCCCAGGCACCTTTTTCACTCTTTCTTGTGGGATTTCAGTGAGCAACCCTTACAGTTCTGTTCTAAGAAATAAATATATCTCTTTTTTTTCCCCCCTCTCCTAGGAATAACTTCAGTGGGAATTGCTCATGGAAAAGCATCACCTGGATTCTTCTGGAGCTGGGAGTCAGGGCCAGAAATCTCCAGGAAAGACCTGCCCAAGGCACAAGAGGAAGATCTCACCTCTCCAGAGGCTCCAGCACACCTGGAGCTTCAGGCAAGGATCATTTCCCTTCCCCGTTTCACTGGTGAGTCCTTATGACTTCTCACATGCAGAAATTGTGTCAGGAAAGTTTTATTTCATTGAAATTTGATGAGAATTTGGTGCATTCATCAGGGTTTTTGTCCTGCCAGTGGCCAGTGTGCCATTGCACACTTGTGGAGGGTTTAGAGAGTCCAAAATGCAGCAAGAGCTGTGTCAGGAAAAGCTGAACCCTTGGATTTTGAGCCTTTTGCTAGTCCCAAATCCATTTTTGTGTTTACCACTTTAAATCACTGATGAGGCAAGCCTCTGCCTTTTCAGGATTTTGGGGTTTGCAAACCCCCAGAACTGAGCCACTGCCATGAATTTTGTGTCCAGGTGGGCTCTGCATGCCATGGGCAGCACCTTGCCAGGGGATTGTCCTGGATTTCTTGTTCATGGAATTTATCCCTTGATAGGAGCAAAGCTGGACAGGTAGAAAAGAGATTCTTTAGAAGTGCAGGAGCCTGAAATAAGGCATGAAAGAACTTTTTATTTTCCAATGGGAAAAGCCTGCTTGGAGAGACTCATTCAGGCAGGGGAAGCTGTGGGAGAAGTGTGGAGTGAAAGACCAGCCAGGCAATTATTCTCCTAATGGGTGAGATGGTGTTGGTTTTCAGGAAATCAGGGCAAATTTGTGGTTAACTGTGTGTGCTGGAAAGATTCTGAATGCAGGGGGGGTGCAGGGACAGCCCCTGGTCTATGGAAAGTGTCACAGCATCAGTTGGATGCTTCAGGTGCAGGGGGTGAGGCAGGTGGGAGGTTCTTGTTGGCAATGTCAGGGATCTGTCCTGCTCAGGCTGGAATTC